TCTGAAAAAACGCCTCCCCAGAGAATCTTTTAAGTCACTGGATCGGTTGGTGACAATTCGTTGCAGAATATCAAGAGAGGTGACTCGATTGAAGTTTTATCATGATTGCTTGCGGTCTCACTGCTTTCCTCGTCATCTCATGAAGTCATTGCGTTCTTGCAAATTACCCCCATCTCTCAAGAATCTTCGACGCATTACAAAATCACATATTGAATCAACAGAATCTCTGATTTCTAAATTGAGAACTGAAGCCCGATCTTTCGATGGTGTCGTCAATAGTTTGAGTATAGTATGTCGCATCAAATTCATCAATTTCATCCAAGGACTTCAACAGAAAACATGTGAAGAATTTTACAAAACTCTCTCAAAATCCCTGACAAAGGAGAAATTGTGTGACGTTTTCCCAGAAAATCCTGAGGAGTTTATCTGTAATCTGTCGAGTCTGAAGTTAAATCGCATAGAAATGGAAGCACTTTCTCTTGGATTTAACTTTCACATCCCAAATAAGTTTGTCGAAAGAACTGATGTCGCAGTTCAATTCGAAAACTTATTCTATCAGTTGAGTGACCTCACTCCAGTTGATGATGACAAGAGGAGCTGGTTCAAATCGAAGCTCGTCGACGTTGCAAATCAATACCTCATTTCTCCAACGTCATATTCCAAAGTCCTTTCTGAAGAGCATCTAAGAGCATTGAAAGCTCTCAAGAATAATGACAAAATTGTTATATTGAGACCTGACAAAGGCTCAGGTGTGGTGCTGATGGACAAAGAGGACTACATCGCAAAGATGAAAGCTGTGTTAAATGACCCGTTGAGGTTTAAAGTTGACAGTTGCCAGAAAGATAAGACAGATGCCGTCGAAAAACGTATCACAAACGCCTTGAGAGATCTCCTAAAGAAGAAATTGATTGACAACAACACGTACAATGACTTGAAACCCCGAGGGTCCCGCTTGCCACACATGTATGGCGTTCCGAAGATACACAAAGAACAAGTCCCCCTGAGACCCATACTTTCGATGATCAACTCGCCCCAACATAAGGTGGCACGTTGGCTTGCGGAGAAGTTGGAACCTATTCGTCAACGGCTAGGCGTGCACACGGCGAAAGACTCATTTCATTTCTCTGAAAGTGTGAACCACATGAACGTTCTAAATAAATTCATGGTGTCATTTGATGTAACCTCCCTATTCACAATGATTCCAATCAATGAAACTATTGAGATCATTTGTCAGCAGTCCGATCTTCTCCCACTCCCAGAATCGGAATTCAAACGCCTACTGCTTATGTGTACCATGGATGTGCAATTCCAATTTGACAACACGTTTTACCGCCAAATAGATGGTGTAGCTATGGGCAGTCCACTCAGCCCTGTTCTAGCAGATATATTCATGTCAAACCTCGAAAGAACAAAGTTGAAACATGCAATCGACGAAACATCTTCCTACTGTCGTTATGTTGATGACACATTTATAGTGTGCGAAAATGAAAGCCATGCTTCACACTTACTAAGATTATTCAATGGTGCACACGCCAATATTGATTTCACTATGGAACATGAAAGTGACGGAAAGTTTCACTTCCTCGACATCGCCATGGAACGCCTAGAAGACGGTAGTCTTCAAAAGTCAATTTATCGAAAGCCCACATGGAAAGGACAATACTTGCATTTTAACAGCTTTTGTCCAAATAGCTTTAAACGGGGTCTAGTCAAGACTCTGTACTATAGAGCGAGGAGAATATGCTCTATAGAGAAACTAGAGGAGGAGTTTGTGTTCCTTGAAAAGATATTGAAGAGAAATGGGTATCCTCAAAAGTTCATCAACAAGTATGGAAGATCTGAAGTCACAAATGTAAAACAAATCACAGTGGGTAAAAAGCCAGTCTACGTTCAGCTTGACTATAAAGGTGAAAACATTGCAGCGATGATCAACAGAAGGCTGAGTACATCACTAGCCATAGCCTATCCTGCAGCCAAGCTCGTTCCCATCTATCGAACAACTTGCTCTTTGGTGCAATCAAAAATCGATAGATATCCTTCTCATGTTACCTCCAACTGTATATACAAATTTACGTGTATCTGCGGGAGCAGTTACATTGGAAGAACAGAAAGAAGGGCATATCTACGATTTTCTGAACACGTACCAAAAAGCTTACGTCTAAAGGGAACAAATGCTCTAAACAGTGCCATCGCCAGGCATCTCCTCGACACGGGTCATGAGGTGGACGTCGAAAAGTCGTTCAAAATTATCAATAGGCAAAAGAGCTCAATTCTCCTTAAGTTTGCTGAAGCGATTTCTATCAAACGCTTGAAACCTGATCTATGTGTTCAGAAAGAAGCGGTTATTAGTCTTTCCTTGCCTTGGTAACTGGATGCCTTTTCTTCTCTCATCTGATTACGTAATCTTTGTCTTTAACCTCACCCTCCCTTTTATAATCTGTAATTTTGTTTGTCTCTTGTTTCTATGATTTGAGCTCAACTCAGTTCATTGTTACCTAACTTACTAGTCACTATGCATCTAACGCATATCTCATCTTTATTACGTAACTCTTTTACCATTTTCTGCATACATTTATTTTGTTTTAACTTGAACTGCCTGTGTGAAAACTATATAAGCGCAATCTTCTGAGCACTGTTTACAAATTGTGGAATTTTCTGTCAACTGACAACATGTAAAATTTGCAAGTATGTTAAAACATGTCTGTACATAAACCTCAAAATTTATTTAGGCTGTAAGCAGCTGATGAGAAGCCAACGGAATAAATGATGGTACCACATTATTCTGCTAAAACTGTAGTTCTTGCTTTGTTCAAATTCATCAAGGGGAATAAATGTATGAAAAGAATATTCTTTGATCACCTAAGCACATCCTTTTCACTATAAATACCTTGACACAATTCCTATTCATTTCTGACCATGTTCATTAATTGTTACAGTATCTAATATATTCGAGGAATACCTTTAAACTCATCAACACAAACACACAAGCTTCAAACAACCGACTAAACAATTCATCATTCACAGTCAGATAGCTGTATGAACAAACCCCACAGAGTTTTGTTTCGCATCTAACCCCTCTCTTTCTAATCCAAATAACCGCTGTTCCCCTTTCTCTTTAATTTCATCATATATGTACTAATGAAATTGACTCCAACTAACTTTAGCGATTCAGGGATTGACTTGTTACCAGGGTACAGTCTTATCAACCTAAGATGTGCGGATGATATATATGTATATATGTTCCTCCTAGTTGAAGACGCTGGTAAAATGCAGTCTTCTGAACACCTTGATGAACAGCAATCTTCGAATTTTCGTCATGTGATCTGCTCATGTCAGATGTAACATGATGCTACAGGACTGGAATACACCGACTCCTAACTTAAACACAGGGAATAAGTGGAGTTGTAAAGTGTGTTGACCACTTCACTTATTTGGGAAGCTGTGCGTCGTTGGCACAGCGGTTAAGACGCTCGCCAACCATGCACATGGTCCGGGGTTCGATTCCCGGCCACAGACGCACTCCTTTACCTTGCCAAATCAGTAATAAGACTGGTAAAGAGGGGAGGCTGGGCATGAGGCTAGCAACCCCATCCTGTAAAAATAAAGACCACTGCTACAGAAACTTTAAGCCACTAGCTTGAGGCCCTATGTTCCACTGGGAACGTGAAGGAAACAAAAAATATAAAAAATCAACCATAATTATATGATTGCTGACGAAATCTCACCACAGATACATAAGGCTTGCATAGCACTTGTCAACTTACACCACCTTCGGAGTAAATGATGAGACATCTGGCTAGCTATCGAACAAAGAATGTATGTAGTACACAGTACCACTTCGCTCCGTCCTCCTTTATGTCTATGAGTGAGACATGGCACTCGAAAGTGGGAGATGTGAAAGGGCTAACTAGCTTTGATAATATGTGTCTGTAGTCCATCTCCCGTGTGTGTTAGGTGGTATAATAAGATAAGTAATATTAATGTTAGGCTTCAGTCGAGTGCCAGGTAGGCGGGAGGGGAAATCAATAGACGAGGCTGTAAAGTTACATCGATTGATATGGTTGGGAAATGTGTTACTCATGCTCAGCCTAGCCATCACCTCCCTAGGTGGGAAATATTAGCTGACTGACATAGGATAGATCAGGCTGGAAAAGAGTTAGCGGTGGTCAAACCAAAACTTGTAATCAGTTTATGAAATCTTTGACAGTTAGTTTGTCTAAGCCACGGAACTAAGTGTGGACTACCTCGTTGGGATCCTCAAGAATCAATGACGGCTGGAGATAATTGGTAATATGGCCCAAAGTCGTTCTTAATGGCTGGCGCATATTTAGTTACTCTCCGTGATCTGCTGTATCCACTAAACCTTATTGTTTCTCCATCTTACTATTCTTTCCCCCACTCACATTTCTGTTTATTATTGTTTCTTCGAATCTATTTCTCTTCTTTCATTTTGTCTTTCTTTGTGGGCTAAATGGAGTGTAGCAAGACGAAATGCTGCAACTCTGTGCTGAAACCAGACACTCAATCAATCCAAATACCATCGACATCTGAGAGAAACGTTAGACGGAAGAAACACCACCTTTCAGTAATAAATGACTGCTTTCTCATCGAGTCTAAAAATTCTGTCAGTTTAGGCCATTTTATATATTTACTATTACTATTACCATTTTATTTCTTTGCATTCCCAGTGGAACATACGGCCTCAAGCTTGAACTTTTGAGTTTCAGTAGCAGTGATATGTCTCTTTACTGGGTGGCGTTGTTGGTGTCACACCTAACCATCCTTTTTTACCGGTCTGACTACCGGTTAAGCGAGGTTTAGCAATGTGTCAGCCAGGAATTGAAGGCCAAACCACATTGCGGAGTGGTTGGCACATGTTTTACCACTGAACTACAGACGCCTTTATACTGTTATAGAGTTGATAAAAAAAAATTAAACAAGTGGGCATTTACATTTACGGAAAGATGCAGAACTTACTCGATTTTGTGGTAGCCCAATACCAGTTTAACTCGATCAACATAAGGGCAAAACCTATATCCAATGAGAGTTAAACGGTCAGAGCGAAATTCTGGCTTTGGATCTCCTGTTGAAAACGGATAAATGTACGTTATGTGAAATCATGTTTTATGAAGCAAACAAAGTAATCTTACAAGAACTAGTGGTAGTCAAACCAGAACGTGGCTTCATTAGTCAATGAAATCTCTAACAGTTAGTTTGAGCCACACATTCACGTAGGGAGGTGTAGACTGGCTTCCTGACTGATTAGTTGGGGTCCTCGGAATCGTGAGAATTAATGAAGGCTAGAGATAATTGGTGATATGACTCAAAATTGTTCCACTCTTTGTGATTTATCACATTCAATAAAACTGTTGTTTTTCCACATTAATATTCTTGTTGTTTCACACTTGTGTATTTTATTTCCAATGAATGAAGTTCAGAATAGCATATCGCTTACGTCTGTAGAAGAGAAAGATAATTGTTTATCTTTCCTAGATATATCGCTTAGTTGACGGCTTAATAGATTAATAAAACGATCTATTTATTGAAAACCTACATGGACAGGACAGTATCTTAATTATCACAGTTTCTGCCCTGTTCAGTACAAAAGAGCCTTAGTGAGCGAGGTGCATCTCCGGTAGAATCCAACGAATATGCACTGAAGACACACTTGATGAGGAAGAAAGAAAGTTGACACAAACTCTGGTCGATAACAATTATCCAGACAAGTTCATCAGGAGGTATAAAGTGGTCACAACACCAAGACCCACTCTCCAATTTGCCCTTAAGAAAGATGTGTACATCAAGCTATCCTATATGGGTGATCACAGCAGCTTGACAACTAGACAAAGATTGAACACTGTATTAAAAAGACTTTTTATGCAGCTGATATCATAATAATTGAGAATATGAAGCTGATATATCCATCTAAACCCTTAAAACATGCAAAAAATGACATCACATCCCACTGTATTTACTAATTTGAATGTACGTGTGGCCACACAAATACGGGGAGGACTCATCGATCTCTGCAAGTAAGACCCGGCTTCAGAGCATATTCCTAAATGGCTTCAAAAGTGAATAGAATCCCCAGAACCCATTATTGGTGAGAACAGGAGACCTAGGTCCCCTATGGCGAAACATATTGTAGAGAATGGACATAAAATTGATGTTTTAACACATCTTTTAAACTTATTGTTATGTACTGGTCGAGAATTTAATAGTCCTGATGCAAGAAAGACGGAAATCAGAAGACCACTAGGTTTGCGATGATACTTCTATTTTCCAAACACAAGGAGAATCAATATCACACGAGTGTGAGAGCAAATATATATAAGAATGTCCGAACAAGTGTGTGAACAATCAATAGACAGTCTTAACATGATTGGCTAATTATAATGGAGTATCGATCCATATATACATAGCAAAATATATCAGACTGTCAAACAAAACACATATTATATGGATACATGTCACCTATCTATAGAACGCGTTTGGGGGAGGGCATATCCTGAAGTTTGTAGAAGCTCTAGCTGGCAATTAGAAAGTTTAAATCACCTTTATGCGTTCAAAGCAACAATTTGTCATCACACTAAACCTCCCTTGGTAAACTTTATTTTGATACCAGCCAGGGTAGATGTACTACTGCCTGATATTTGGCTTACTGATCTTCATTGTTATTTTGACCTTCAAAACATCCTTTTTAACTTGACCTAAATTTATTTTCTCACTTCTTAACTCTCTATTAACTTCACATATGACAAGTCCGTGTGTGATGGATCAGATTGTTGGAAATGTGTTGCGCAAATACATTACACACACGATTCGGACAGACAGATGTCTTCTTATTGCTTTGTCTATATTATTTCTGTTTTTTGGAATCTCTCTTTACTCTCTTCTATTGCTTTGTGTGCTACACGGAATGGGGCGACTCGAAATGGTGCACATCTGTGCAAAGTTCTATGCTGAAACCAGTCAGTCAGTGTTATACGTCTATACAACTGTATGTGTCAAATTTTTGTGTGTAAAAAATCTCCGCGAGAGCGAATTAAATAATCCCAACACTTCGTTCAACAAACAGGTACGAACCTCTTCAAGGAAATAAAATATATCAAAGGTATGTATTAAAGGATACATCCTGTTTCCTTATTTTTGTTTTAACATATCTGAGTTATGAACTCTGAAAAAAATATGATCAGATAATTCCAAAAAAATTATTAGTATGTTTTCTGAGCAGAATCAACTGTAAACTCTCCTCCTGAAAGACGGTATGTAGTGTAGTGCCTAAGGCATCTTACCAAGAAGCTTTTTTGTTTATCCTGTATATCAATTACCTGAAATCAATGAATCTAAAATGGTTCTCTATACAGATGACTTAAAAATTTTGGTGAGTCAAAGGAGGATCATGACAAGTTCCCGATGCAAGAAGGTCCCAATAAAGTTAGCTTGGTCCAAAGAATGGATGCTCCCAGTCAACGTAACGGAGTGCGCAGCCATGTGCATTGGACACGAAAGAGTCAGCTCATACGAATAACACTCCCATCAGTTCAGAGGTATGTGGATCCAAGTGTCCTTGTAAGACATTACACAAAAACTATAACACAGTGTCGCGCTGTGTCAGCTCGAAGGCTTAGATCACTACCGGCAATATGTAGAGCACTTTCTAGAATCACCAGAGATGTGTTTGATTCTTCATATACATATGGTGAGATCAAAAACAGAAAAATGAGTCCAGACAGCCACCCGTCGACTTAAGAAGGACTCCTACATCCTAGCCTTCAAAGCAAGGCAACGCGTATCATTCTTGGTATGACCAATTGATTATAAGATAAATGACCAAACAGTGGGAATCTCTTATCATACCGTAGATGGAGAGCTCTCATTACAATACTTAAAATCTCTAAGAATGACTATGGACCTGATCTATATTTTCTTCTCCTTTCCATCGGATAAGAACATCTCAGGAAACATGGCAGGAGAGTTCAACAACTAAAGGAAAACTATATCGCTGTGGAGTGCTAGTTCTTCCATTGGGCTATATACTCTTAAAAAGCATTCCCAGAAGTGGTGTCAACATCCTGAATTTACCCGTTCAAGAGGGATTTGGATAAACAAAGAAACTTATTAAAAAAGGATCAACACGTGCTCAAAGTTTTATATCCTCAATTAATAAATCGAAAATCTGAAATTCGCTTAATTCTAATGTAAGCTTGACATCAGAATTAAGTGGATTTTGAGACTTACAATAATGCTCGTAAATTCCCAATCGGACAAAAAAGGGAACAGCGTAAAAAATGGCGACAATAGTAGGGAACTCAGTTGACAAACAAGGGGAAATAAAGGGGACTGTCGCTAATCCTCCCTTTTCCAAGGTCATGCATTGTATACCCTTTTGTCTCTCGATCCCCCCTCTTTGCTTCATTTTGCCGCTATTGTCGATAAGTTTTCCCTTTCTCCGCTTATTTCCCCACCTATTTTCTAATAATCCCACAGTTCTTCCCTTTACTTCACCCAACTATCACCCGTCTTTCTCATGGAATTAGCCTGTTGATTGCTGCTTCCTAACTGTCGCGCATGTTATTGTAAACAGAAACGTAGTTACTGAGAATAGAACGATAGCCATCGAAATACGGATTCGTAATATAAAAGTTATATTTAAATTATTTAATTTAAATAGGAAAAAAATCTAAAAACCTCTGTCGAAATTACTAGAAATTCCAATGGTGGGAGAATTCTGGAATTATTCTGAATTGATTATAAAGTCCCCGTAAGACCGAACTTTTCCAGAATTCCAGCACTACTGCACAGCGCCGATTAGCACGTGCCTTTCTCGGAATTCTTTCAGCTATCTCTCTCAATCTTAATTCAGCAATCACTAGATTTTGTTTGCTTAAGATAAAAATGTGATGCATAGATTAAACAGTATGTGCGTGTGAATTTCTAATTATTGGAAACGTGAACTAATTGATACGTATAGTGTGCACTACAAAAACTGGGCGGACTTAGAGCCTTCTAAAGGCTTATCAAGAGAAACAATGTACACTAACGGTTCACGACAACTCATATAAGATGTGTCATACTAGAGTCACGGACACCTACCTTGCTTTAAGTGCATCTTTGTTAGTAGTTTGTAGTTTCTGGATGACCCCAGCACTCGTAATTAAACAGCCGCGAAAACTGTTAATGATCAGTTGAGTTGCAAATCTGTGGTTGATGTCTATCCAATATCCAATATCCTGATTACGAGCTAGTATAAACCAGTGATTTCTTTGAGCTCGCTTCTTGATTGTGAGGTATGGTAAGTTTGGCGGTTTTCTAATGTTCAAACCATGCTTGTCTACTTTCAGGTTGGCTGCGAAGTATGCAGGGACTGGTTACCCAAGACGAGGCAACGGATGACCAATAGGAGTGCCCCTTCCCTCTTATCTCTATAACGCCTCCCAAATTTCTTAGACATCTGGATATCAAACTAACGATATGTTGCTGCAGGGCGCATGTCATGTTGAATGCATGACCCAGGTCAGTAAAGTCCATATCTACAGTCAAAGCATGCACATTATGACTGGTGACTCACGCGACTATCTGAGACAGTATGCTGACTCGATGCATAATGCGCATGCTTTGACTGTAGATATGGACTTTACTGACCTGGGTCATGCATTCAACATGATCATGTTGACATGCGCCCTGCAGCAACATATCGTTAGTTTGATATCCAGATGTCTAAGAAATTTGGGAGGCGTTATAGAGATAAGAGGGAAGGGGCACTCCTATTGGTCATCCGTTGCCTCGTCTTGGGTAACTAATCCCTGCATACTTCGCAGCCAACCTGAAAGTAGACAAGCATGGTTTGAACATTAGAAAACCGCCAAACTTACCATGCCTTACAGCACTCGTAATTAAACAGCCGCGAAAACTGTTAATGATCAGTTGAGTTGCAAATCTGTGGTTGATGTCTATCCAATATCCAATATCCTGATTACGAGCTAGTATAAACCAGTGATTTCTTTGAGCTCGCTTCTTGATTGTGAGGTAGAGGTTCCAGATCTTCGGTGAGCTTCTGCGTAGTAAGTCCCGCCACTCGACTGCTTTAGCTCTGGTAGACTCCAGGAGGAGTGGTGCGGGGATTGGTCGAGATGTGGTTTGTAGTATGCAGTATGTTAGGACTGTATTGCTGCCGTGAATGGAGTTTGACCTAACTCCCGTTGGTCATTCGGTGTAGTCATAAAAGCAGAATAGTAGTAATAATAATAAGAATAAAAATAATGGGTTGTAGTGTAGATAATATAGGTTGAGATAAGTGGAATAATAAAGGTGACCTAAGGAAAAGATAGAGTGAGAGAAGGCAGAATAGGTCGTGGGGATTTAGTTTGTACGCTTATCCATTGACAGTGTGGTTTCAAGTTTTATGGGGATAAGCCATTGAGACACAAACCTTGCATTTCTGCATGATTGTCTAGCTTCCGCTTAAAAATCTCCAGAGAAGGCGCTGTAGTCACGGCCGCCGGTAAAGCGTTCCAGAGACGGCAAACACGAAGCGAAAAGAAATGTGATCGCACTCGAGTCTTTGGTCTCTGGTGTGCTATCCTTAGCGGGTTACCTCGTGGAAGCCTATAGTCACTTAATGGCAGGATGCTTTTATTTGGGTGGGCCTGGTCATTTAGGACCTGGTAGACGGTGATGAGGTCTCCCCTGTGCCTTCGGTAACTAAGTGTGAAAAGACCTAATTTCTTTAGTCTTTCCTCATATGATTTGTTGCGGAGGCCGATCACCCATTTTGTCGCTCGTCTCTGGACACTTTCTAGAATGTTAGCATCCCTTTTGAGTAGCGGAGGTGCAATGATATTATGCACCTCAAGGTGTGGCCTCACATATGCCTTATATAACCTTAAGAACAGTTCGGGAGTGAGAGCTCCCAGCTGCCTATGCATAAAGTGTAATGTTGCGTAGGCTTTGGCGACGTCCCTCGAGTAATTTCTACTGGTGTCTAGCTTTTCTGTTAGAATAAGACCTAGGTCTCGCTCTGATTGAACACAACTCAAGTTCTGGCCACCAAGGGTGTAATCTACACTCTGTGACCTGCCCGAATGAAGTTGCACTACTTTGCACTTCTTTAGGTTGAAAGGCATTCCGTTAGCTAGAGCCCAGTTTCCCAGAGTTTGCAGGTCAGCCTGCAATCTGTCTGAGTCTTCCGATGAGTTTATTGCTCTCCAAATCTTTACGTCGTCAGCGTAAAGAAGCGCAGAGCAGTTTAGTTGGGAGGGCAGGTCGTTGATAAAAATCAAAAACATCAACGGCCCTAGGATAGAACCCTGAGGAACCCCTGATGCCGAGGTGTGCCAGGATGATCGGATGCGGTTGACTTTGGTGCAGAATTCTCTCTCGCCTAAGTAATCTGTCAGCCATGCGAGAAGTGCTCCAGAAACACCCGCCTTGCTTATTTTGTGAAGGAGCAGACCATGGTGAACTGTGTCGAATGCTTTCGCAAAGTCGAGAAAGATCACGTGGGCTGGTACCTTTTTGTCCCAGGATAGTGTCCAATCGTTCCAAGCTAGTAGAAGATTCGTCACGCAGGATCTTCCCCTCCTAAAACCGTGCTGTGCTTCGTGAAGAAGGTTAGTCCCATCGAAGTATTTTCTCATATGGTCGTCAATGATACTTTCCAATATCTTCGATATCACTGGAAGTAGAGCAACTGGTCTGTAACTGGTCGCATTCTGCCGGTTACCACCCTTGAAGATAGGGGATAGGATTGCACGTTTCCATTCACATGGAAGTTTCCCTACATCAAGGGAGTGTTGGAACAGATCGCTTAGGGGTTGGCAGAGACTTTCTGAACACTGCTTCAGGACAGATGGTCTGATGTCATCACAACCTGAAGACTTTCCCGAAGCCAACCTTCCCAATTTTGCAAGTACCATAGCCGGGGTAATTTGAAATGTACCCAGGAGGTTTTCGCGTGTTGGTTTTGCGATGTAATCTGGATGTTCTGTGGGGGTAATATCCTCGTTACTGTTTAGTTGCCTGTGAAAGGCTAGGCTGAATGTCTCTGCCATTTCAAGACTAGTAAGAGATTTCCCATCAGAACCCACTAGATTGCATGCTCCCTGGTTGGTCGGTTTTCTTTCGGACATAAACCTGTATAGGCTTTTGGGGTTCACGAGAAGCTTATTGGCGAGGTCTCCCTGAAATGTCCTTCTATCGCTCCGGACTCGTATGTTACATCGATTCCTGAGTTCAAGGTACACTTCATGTTCGGGTTGACTCTTCGATCGTCGCCACGCAAACCAGGCTTTTCGCTTCGCCTGCAGAAGGCGTCGTGTCCCCCTTGTTAGCCATGATCGTTGCTTCCTAGCTTTTGGTGTGACTAAAGGAACAGTGTCTGAGACCGCCTGGTGAATGATCTCCTTTACCACTCTCCAGTGTTCTTCAACTGTTAGCTCTGTCCATTTTTTAGGCCAATTTGCTTCAGACAGAAGTCTTCGCATTTTGGTGTAGTTGGCTTTGTTATAACACAGATAGGGCTGTGTATTGTCCCACTGTAAGCGCTCGCGGAGGACTATGTCGAATACTATGACCGCGTGGTCACTACTACCTATGGGAGTCGTGATCTGAACGTTTTCCACTAGTAGCTGGTCACTAGTGGTCACTAGGTCATTTTAGTATGCGTTTGCATACCATATTTTTATGTTAAGTTTCACTTTAAATAACTGACTTATGTTCCACTTACCACCACTTTTGTTTTCATTGCTGTTTAAGTGAATTATTTCGTTCGTTTGTTATGTTCTGTAAGTCTGACAGTGCATCCATATCAGCCTAATTATTTCAAACATTTCCTCCATCACTATATAGTATTTCTGTCATCTTAGAACTGTTCATGAAATCATGTCAAACCAAACATTAAGGAATTATGAATACGAAACTGTTTTGGAAACAGGTTTTCTTGTTTGCATTTATTTTGTTGGTAATCCCTATTGTTTCAGGTTCAGGTGGCTGCTTGATCGTCTTCCTTGATGTATATGGGGAAAGTGTCTTCCTAAGTGAGGTTTACAAAACTGTGCTCAGCATAAAACCCTCTGCAGGCTATTATAGGAAAGGAAGAGTAAATCAGTGAGACATTTAAAGCAGTTACGGGAATTAAGGTCAAACCAGGACAAGCGTCGGTGGTACAGTGGTTAGGACTCTCGCCGACCATGCACATGGTCTAAGGTTCGATCCGCTGCCGACGCACACCTGATATCTATGATGATGCCTGTAAACTGGCGTCCCTCATGTACTGTATCATGAGAATAAATTTATTTATTTATTTATTTAAAAATCAAATTTCAAAACACTATACTACATATGTCGATAGTCATAAAATATTAACCCTGGCATAATTGTGATAACCGTAATGATTTTTATGCCAACTAAATTACCAAATTAATTACGATTATATTAAATAAGTTCTTCGCATACAACGCACTATGTCCGATACGAGCGTTCCAAATCATAATCCTGTATAAGTTTCGAATAAGGTCCAGCACCCAGTGTGACTGAAAAGGCTTTTTATGAACCTACTGATTTCCTAGTGCTGAGAACACTGTTAAAGATCTTTGCAGATCCTGATACAGAATATGCTTCCTCTGTATTCCTACAGCTCCGCTAAACTCACGAGGAGAAAGATGTTAATTTATTTTAGCAGCAACTTATAGTTTATTCAAGAGAAGTATACCAGCTGAGATCGAAAGTCGTCATTTCACTAGACGATCCTCTAGCTTTGTCGACAACATTCTGGAAAGTTCTGTGTTAAGTAGACGGGAAGGAAATCGGTGATATGAGAATAGCACTTATGCGCTGTGGTGGAGTATAATTCCATTGAGAATAAAACTTATTTTCATAAAGTCCCAAAGTGTTGTACAGCAATATTTACTGATAACGTTTCGAGCACACTTTGTTGCTCACAATCATATCAAGGAAATCAAGATAATGAATGGACGAAATAATACGACTGAAAAGAGTTTTTCACAAAACAGGTAAGTGGAGGAGAGGGAGCTGGAAGAATGCATAGTACTGAAACAACCCAATTAAATTAGTGGGTGAGTCACAATGCGGGATATTTATATTACCAGTTAA